TGGTTGTTTGCATCACCATTATTCCTGACTCTGAATTCATATACTACGATAGGCTATCATTTTCTTACACCTGTACTCAACAGTTAAAAATATGGTATGCCATTAAAACAGTTAAAAAAAAAATAATGTGTTCAGGTAACTAAGCAGCACAGTAGCATCACCAGAATACCTGTCTCAGCAGTCTAACAGCGACAGACAATGGCAAGCTTTCTGTCTCTAACTACCGTGCTGTGTTTTGATGCAAAGGTTATTGTCTACTGTTTTTTGTTTGTTTTTTTCTGGTGAGAAGAAACATGAAAAGCAATTGAGGGATGAGGAACTGGGTCCTTTAGGGATGAGGAGGCATTCTGTTGGATGGTTTTGCAAAATGTTGCCTCTAGAGTCATCTGCCTCATTAACAATGGCTTTTTTTCCTTCAACTTTTAAGTTCAGGGGTACACGTGCAGGATGTGTAGGTTTGTTACATAGGTTAATGTGTACCATGGTGGTCTGCTGCACAGATCATCCCATCACCTAGCCCAGCACACATCAGCTATTCTTCCTGATGCTCTCCCTCATCCCCCCAAGTCCCCAACAGGCCCCAATGTGTGCTGTTCCCCACCAAGTATCCATGTGTTCCCATTGTTCAGCTCCCACTTATAAGTGAGGCCATGTGGTGCTTGGCTTTCTGTTTGCCAAGGATAACAGCTTCCATCTCCATCCATGTCCCTGCAAAGGACATGATCTCGTTCCTTTTTATGGCTGCACAGTATTCCATGATGTGTATGTAGGACATTTTCTTTATTCAGTCTATCACTGATGGGCATTTGGATTGATTCCATGTCTTTGCTATTGTGAATAGTGCTGCAATGAACATACACATTCATGTATCTTTATATGAGAATGATTTATATTCCTTTGGGTATATACCCAACAATGGAACTGCTGGGTCAAATGGTATTTCTGCCTCTAGATCTTTAAAAAATCACCACACTGTTTTCCACAACGGTTGAACTAACTTGCCCTCCCACCAATGGTGGAAAAACGTTCCTTTTTCTCTGCAACCTCACCAGCATCTGTTGTTTTTCTGACTTTTTAATAATCGCCATTCTGACTGGCATGAGATGGTATCTCACAGTGGTTCCGATTTGCATTTTTCTAATGATCAGTGATGTTGAACTTTTTTTTCACGTTTGTTAACCACATGTATGTCTTCTTTTGAGAAGAGTCTGTTCATATCCTTTGTCCACTTTTTAATTTTTTTTTTTTTTGTCTGTCTTCTAAATTTGTTTAGGTTCCTTGTAGACGCTGGATATTAGACCTTTGTCAGGCAGATAGACTGTAAACACTTTCTCCCATTCTCTAGGTTGTCTGTTCACTCTGATGATAGTTTCTTTTGCTGTGCAGAAGCTCTTTAGTTTCACTGCATCCCCTTTGTCAATTTTTGCTTTCATTGCTATTGCTTTTGGCGTTTTTGTCATGAAATCTTTGCCGTTGCCTATGTCCTGAATGGTATTGCCTAGATTTTCTTCTAGGGTTTTTATAGTTTTGGGTTTTACATTTAAGTCTCCATCTTGAGTTAATTTTTGTATAAAGTGTAAGGAAGGGGTCCACTTTCAATTTTCTGCATTTGACTAGCCAGTTCGCCCAGCACCGTTTATTAAATAGGGAATCCTTTCCCCATTGCTTGCTTTTGTCAGATTTGTTGAAGATCAGATTGTTGTAGGTGTGCAGTCTTATTTCTGAGTTCTCTATTCAATTCCACTGGTCTATGTGTCTGCTTTTGTACCAGTACCATGCTGTTTTGGTTATGGTAGCTTTGTAATACAGTTTGAAGTCAGGTAGCATGATGCCTCTAGCTTTGACCTTTTTGCTTAAGATTGTCTTGGCTATTCAGCTCTTTTTCAATTCCATATGAATTTTAAAATAGATTTTTTTTCTAATTCTGTGAAGAATGTCAATGGTAGTTTAATGGGGATAGCATTGAATCTATAAATTACTTTGGGCAGTAGTTTATTGAGAGCTTTTACCTTGAAGGGATGCTGAATTTTATCAAAGGCCTTTTCTGCATCTATTAAGATCATGTGGTAGTTTTGTTTGTAGATCATGTCTGTAGTTCTGTTTCTGTGATGGATCACATTTATTGATTTGCAAATGTTGGACCAACCTTGCAGCCCAGGGATGAAACTCACTTGATGGTGGTGGATACGCTTTTTGACATGCTGCTAGATTCAGTTTGCCAGTATTTTACCGAGGATTTTTGTATCGATGTTTGTCAGGGATATTGGCCTGAAGTTTTCTTTTTTTATTGTTGTATCTCTGCCAGGTTTTGGTATCAGGATGATACTGGTTTCATACAATAAGTTAAGGAGGAGTTCCTCCTTTTCAATTTTTTGGAATAGTTTCAGTAGAAATGGTACCCACTCTTCTTTGTACCTCTGGCAGATTTCAGCTGTAAATCTGTCTGGTCCTGGGTTTTTTGTGGTTGGTAGGCTATTTATTACCACCTCAATTTTAGAACTCATTATTAAGGGATTCGATTTCTTCTTGGTTCAGTCTTGGGAAGATGTATGTGTCCAGAAGTTTATCCATGTTTTTCTAGATCTTCTAGTTTATGCATATAGAGGTATTTATAGTATTCTCTGATGGTTGTATGTATTTCTGTGGGGTCAGTGGTGATATCCCCCTTATCATTTCTGATTGTGTTATTTGATTCTTCTCTCTTTTCTATTAGTCTAGCTAGCAGATCATTTTATTAATTTTTTTTTTTTTTCCCCAAAAAAACAGCTCCTGAATTTGTTGATTTTTTGAAGGGTTTTGTGTGTGTGTGTCTGTATCTCCTTCGGTTCCACTCTGATCTTGGCTATTTCTTGCCTTGGGGTTTGTTTGCTCTTGGTTCTCTAGTTCTTTTAGTTGAGATGTTAGGTTGTTACCTTGAGATCTTTTTTTTTTTTTTTTTTTTTTTTTTGAGATGGAGTCTCATTCTATTGCCCAGGCTGGAGTGTAGTGGCACAATCTCGGCTCACTGCAAGCTCTGCCTCCTGGGTTCACGCCATTCTCCTGCCTCAGGCTCCCAAGTAGCTAGGACTACAGGTGCCCACCACCATGCCCAGCTAATTTTTGTATTTTTAGTAAAGACAGGGTTTCACCTTGTTAGCCAGGATGGTCTCTATCTCCTGACCTTGTGATCTGCCCACCTCGGCCTCCCAAAGTGCTGGGATTACAGGCATGAGCCACCGTGCCTGACCACCTTGAGATCTTTCTAGCGTATTGATCTGGGCATTTAGGATTACAAATTTCCCTCTTAACACTGCTTTAGCTGTGTCCCAGAGATTCTGGTACACTGTCTGTTTGTTCTCATTAATTTCAAATCACTTCTTGACTTCTGCCTTAATTTCATTATTTATCCACAAGTAATTCAGGAGCAGGTTGTTCAATTTCTATGTACTTGTGTAGTTTTGAGTGAATTTCTTAATCGAGTTCTAATTTGGTTGCACTGTCATCTGAGAGATGGTTTCCTATGATTTCGGTTCTTTTGCATTTGCTAGGGAGTGTTTTACTTCTAATTATATGAACAAGTTTTGGGTAAGTGCTATAGGGTGAGGAGGAGAATGAATATTCTGCTGTTTTTTGGTGGAGAGTTCTGTAGATATCAGGTCTGCTTGATCCAGAGCTGAGTTAACTCTTCTTGATGAATTGAACCCTTTACCATTATGTAATGCCCCTCTTTGTCTTTTTTTGATCTTTGTTGGTTTAAAGTCTGTTTTGTCAGAACTAGGATTGCTTTTTTCTGTTTTCCATTTGCTTGGTAAATTTTCCTCTATCCCTTTATTTTAAGCCTAAGTGTGTCTTTGCATGTGAGATGGAAGACAGGACACCAATGGGGTTTGGCTCTTTATCCAGCTTGCCATTCTGTGTCTTTTGATTGGTGCATTTAGCCCATTTACATTTAAGGCTAGTATTGTTATGTGTGAATTTGATCCTGTCATCATGACGCTAACTGGTAATTTTGCAGACTTGTTTATGTGGTTGCTTCATAGTGTCACTGGTCTGTGTACTTCAGTGTGTTTTTATAGTGGCTGGTAATGGTTTTTCCTTTCCATATTTAGTGCTTCTTTCAGGAGCTTTTGCAAGGTAGGCCTCGTATTGATGAATTCCCTCTTCATTTGCTTGTCTGCAAAGGATCTTATTTCTCTTTTGTTTATGAAGCTTAGTTTGGCTGAAAATGAAATTCTGTGTTGGAAATTCTTTTCTTTAAGAATTTTAAATATTGGCCGCCAATCTCTTCTGGCTTGTAGGATTTCTGCTGAGAAGTCTGCTGTTAGTCTGATGGGCTTACCTTGTAAGTGATCTGGCCTTTCTCTCTGGCTGCCCTTAACATTTATTCTTTCATTTTGACATAGAATCTGATAAGTATGTGTCTTGGAGATGATCTTCTCATAGAGTATCCTACTGGAGTTCTCTCCATTTCCTGAATTTGAATGCTGGCCTGTCTTGCTAGGTTGGGGAAATTCTATTGGGATGATATCCTAAAGTATGTTTTCCAACTTGGTTCTGTTCTCCCTGTCTCTTTCAGGTACCCCAATCAGTCACAGGTTCCATCTCTTTACATAATCCCACATTTCTTGGAGGTTTTGTTCATTCCTTTTCATTCTTTTTTCTCTATTCTTGTCTGCCTGTCTTATTTCAGAAAGATAGTCTTCAAACTCTGAGGTCCTTTCCTCCACTTGGTCTGTTCTGCTATTGAAACTCGTGATTGCACGGTGAAGTTCTCATGTTATATTTTTCAGCCCTATCAAGTCAGTTATGTTCCTCTCTAAACCGGCTATTCTGGTTATCAGCTCCAGTATTGTTTTATCATGATTTTTAGCTTCTTTGCATTGGGTTACAACGTGCTCCTTTATCTCAGCGAAGTTTGTTGTTTCCAACCTTCTGAAGCCTAATTCTGTCAACTCAGCCATCTCAGCCTCATCGCTGTTCTGAGTCCTTGCTGGAGAGGTGTTGTAGTCATCCGGAGGAGAAGAGGCACTCTGTCTTTTTGAGTTTTCAGTGTTTTTGCATTGATTCTTTCTCGTCTTTGTGGGCTTATCTACCTTTGACCTTTGAGGCTGCTGACTTCTGAAGGAGTTTCTGTGGGGTCTTTTTTGTTGATGTTGTTGTTGCTGTTTTCTGTTTGTTGTTTTTTTTTTTCTTTTCACAGTCAGGCTACTGACTGTTAGCAACCACAGGCTGCTGTGGTTTGCTGGGGAACTGCTCCAGACCTTAGTTGCCTCTGCTTTTCCTGTACTTGGAGGTATCAACAGTGAAGGCTGTGAAGCAGCAAAGATGGCAGCCTGCTCCCTCCTCTGGACACTCCATCCCAGGGTGGGTACTGACCTGCTTCTGGCCCAAATGCTCCTTTCGGAGGTTTATTGAAAGGTCTCACCTAGTCAGGAGGAATGGAATTAGGCCCTTATTGAAAGGTCTCACCTAGTCAGGAGGAATGGAATTAGGCCCTTATTGAAAGGTCTCACCTAGTCAGGAGGAATGGAATTAGGCCCTTATTGAAAGGTCTCACCTAGTCAGGAGGAATGGAATTAGGCCCTTATTGAAAGGTCTCACCTAGTCAGGAGGAATGGAATTAGGCACCTGCTTACAGAAGCAGTCTGGCTGTAGACCAGGTGTGCTGTGTTTGGGAGGACCCTTCCTCATCCGGACTGCCCAGACTCTCTAGAGTAGGCAAGCTGGAACAGCTCAGTTGACCGAACCACAGAGATGGCGGCCTCCCCTCCTGCCGGGAGCTCCATCCCAGGGAGAGATCAGAGCTCTCTGTCCATATAAGCCTGGCTGGAGTGATTAAAGGCCCCCCACAGGGAGGCCCTGCCCAGTGAGGAGGAATGGATCGGGGTCCCACTTTAAAGCAGTTTGGGCACAATCTGGCACAGCAGCTGTGCAGTGTTGGGGGGGTATCCCCTCCTCATCTGGACCACCCAGACTCTCTGGAGCTGGCAGGCTGGAATGTGCAGTTGACCAAACCATAGAAATAGTAGCCACCCCTCCCCCAGGGAACTCCCTCCTGTTTCAGGCAGACTCACTGTGTTGCCATTGGCTGGCTGGAATTTCCAAGCCAGTGGGTCTTAACTTGTCCTCACAAAGGACGTGGGGCCCGCAGAACAATGCTGCTTGGCTCCCTGGATTCAGCCCCCTTCCTAGGGGAATGTACAAAGGGATCTGTCACCTTGCTGGGAATTCCAGGGTGGAGTATGTAAAACTCTTGTCTCTGTGTGTACCTGTGCTGAGGCTCCACACAGCTCTGTTTATTGGATCCAAGGCCCTAGTAGTGTGGGCTCATGAGGGGATCTCCTGATCCACAGGTTGTAAAGATCTGTGGGAGAAGCATGGTTTCCTGGGCGGGTTGCACAATCAGTCACTGCTTCCCTCTGCTGGGGGTGGGGGTTCCTTTGGCTCCGTGAGGCTCCTGGGTGGGCCAGTGGCCCACTCTGCTTTTCTTTATTCTCTCCGGGTCAGGATGATTGTCTAGTCAGTCCCAGTGTGAGAACCTGGATATTTCAGCTGAAGGTGCTGAATTCACTCGACGCTTTCATTCCTCTCTGTGCTGTAGGCTGCAGCTGCTTCTAATGGGCCCTCTTGGTCCCCAACTCAACAATGGCTCTTGTTTTAGCAGTCTCTCTTTGATTTTATAAATAGAATGAGTTGTTCTGTTATGAATGCCTGCTGCTCTAGTTCTTCAATAAGCCCATCACACAATTTCACCCTGTCATCTATAGGCACTTTTTCTGCAGTGTTAACAACATCACTATTATCATGATTACCTTATTCAGAATCATTTTGGCCATTTCACCATTGGTCAATGAATGAACAAGTGGAGCCTTGTTATCAATGTTAAAAACTTCTTTAGTATTCACTTCTTCCAGCTTACTGACGGATTATGAAGTCTATTTTTTTGCAAAGGTAAGGAGTTCAGCCATCTTTTTTTTCTCGCTTGACATATATAATCCTTCAAAGCCACCATCTTGTTTATCATTACCACTGGACATAGCTGTAGGCCAGAGTTGTGCCACGCATGCACACCTGTTTCAAGCAATGGCAACAGCATATAGAGCATCCTCAGGCTAAACTCCTTTTGAACACTTTCTCACACCCACACCTCTGTACACCGCTGCTAGCCAGCATGCTGTTCAAGAAAAGTGTTTTTTTAATCTACTCTTTAATTGATCTAAGGATACTCTGGTCACATGGCTAAAATGATGAAGTCACATTTGAGGGAAAGTACATGGAATAGACATTTTTAAAATGAGAATTTCAGCTGGGAGATGAGCAGAACAGTTGTCATGTAATAACAAAATCTTGCCGTCATCATCCAGTCGAGTCTCCCTGCAGCAAGCATTAGCCACTTGGTACCAAACGTTTGTGAAACCAATCAAAAAAGATGTCCCTGGTGCTCCACGTCTTTCTGTTAGCATACTAACAGACTGGTAAGAAACTCGCTCCTTGAAAACAGTGAGGACACAAGTTTTTATCTATCACCCCCCTTATGTGTGCCTGATGCATTAACACATCCCGGCATATTCTGTCCTTGGCAGCCTTAATTCTAGTAGGTGCTGTTTCATCAGCTGTAGTCAGTGTCTTTCTGAGGCAATGATGCCAAAACAGTGATGTTTCTTCAGCATTATAGACTTGTTTTGGCTTCAGATTTTCATTAGGCATGACTGGCAAACTCAATGAATTTCTTCACTGCTTTGTGATCAGCAGATGCTTTATCATCACAAATCTTTAAAAATGTAATGCTGTGTCTTTTGTTAAATTTCTGCAACCAGCCTATTGATTATTCACATTTCCTTTTCATTTTCAGTTCATCAAGATCTTTGCTTGTTTCATGGTCAGCATACCATTATGTGGCATGTGTTCACTGTGACGTGGACAGATCCGCACTTTCAATACATGATCAAGATCTTCATGTTTGACTTTATGCAGTTTTCTAATTTTCACTAACTTCTGTGAATCAGTTTCAGCACAGAACTTCAACAATGTATCCTTCTGTTTCTTCAGGTCATATATGGATGTTTCATATACTCCTGTCCAGTTTCTCCAACAGCTTGGCTTTCTGTGCTAGAGGTAAACATAAATGCTTCCTCTTTTTATCAGTTACCCTGAGGGGTATTTGTAGGTCATTTTGTCATTTTCAGCAATACCTTTATACCACAGAGCAAAGAGTAAGCAAGCAAACACAGTTGAGTCATGCATGTAGGTCTTGGCTCCATGTGGGGCATTGTGGGAAACCTGCCATCAGCATGCCTGGCCTGCACACACGCCATTTTACTATCCTTTGTGGGTGTGCTTGCTTGCATGGGGGAAACTGGGTGTCTGTGGAAAAGATATATGGCAGCTGAAGGGAGCTGGGAGGGATTTTTTTTTTTTTTCTTTTCTGCTTGGGGATGCCGAGTAAACTGTGTATTGTGTGCCTGCGTTTTGACTTGACTCGCCATATAAGGTCAAGTATAACATTTTCAACGCATGATGTCATGCTGGTGCTAAAAAGGTTTTGGATTTTGGAGCATTTCAGATTTTGAAAATTTGGATTAGGGATCCTCAACCTACATTGCTGCATATCTGTCACTCACTTCCACGGTGACATGGAATCTGTGTTCACCCAGAAAGCTAACTGAGCTGAGAAAAAAATCTTAAAGGGAGATGTCTTTCATTATCATTTCAGTTCATTTACCGGTTGATAATTAGTCATCTTTTCTATTTCTTCTTGTTCAAGTTTTGGGAATTTACACAGGTTAATTAATTTACACTTTTTTTTCTTTTTTTTTTTTGAGACGGAGTCTTGCTCTGTCACCCAGGCTGGAGTGCAATGGCGTGATCCTGGCTCACTGCAACCTCTGCCTCCCGGGTTCACGCCATTCTCCTGCCTCAGTCTCCTGAGTGCTGGGACTACAGTCGCCCGCCAACACGCCCAGCTAATTTTTTGTATTTTCAGTAGAGACGGAGTTTCACCGTGTTAGCCAGGCTGGTCTTGAACGCCTGACCTCAAGTGATCCACCTGCCTCAGTCTCCCAAAGTGCTGGGATTACAGGCACGAGCCACTGCGCCCAGCCATTATTAACTTTTAAATGAGAAAACCCATCACTATTTCCATACAAACGACCTGCCAATTGACTTTCTGTAACCCACTTAGAAGTTTGGATCTATATTCGGTCAAATCCGTGTTAACTGATCACAGTCCTTGCATTTGTTATTCCTGGCTGTAGCTGTAAACTATCGCAAGCACAGTCAGTCTGAAGGTGAGAATTGTATTTTTGAAAATATAAAATGTCTTGACTTCCAGGAGCTTACTAGAGAAATAAAAAAGTGTAGCCTGCAGTTTTCAAAACCAATTCATCACAAGATTGAAGGTTATAAATCTAAATAATGGTCAGTGTTAGCCCAATAGTGACCAGACAAACATAAAACAAAAATGTAAACAAAACCAAAGCAAAAAACTAAAAACAAAACCCCAAAACAAACAACCAAACAAATAGTCTAAGCCATAAGGACCCCTTGTGAACTCTCATATGGATGTCTGGATTTTAGGAACAGGATTATCAGATCAGTGGGAGAAAATGTATAAACATTGGGAAGTAGAATCATTTCAAGTTCATTTTGGGCCTTTGGATATGACTTTAATGTTAATCAACTTACTTTAAACTGAGCCTGCTTAATATATAATGAAACAAATAATTGTCATGTCTTATTGTTTTTATAATTTAGTCAGTATCTTTTTTTCTTTCAATATTAAAAACAGCAGGAAGAAGCTAGGCCTGGTGGCTCATGCCTGTAATCCCAGCACTTTGGGAGGCTGAGGTGGGAGGATTGCTTGAGACCAGGAGTTTGAGACCAGCCTGGGCAACATAGTGAGACCTTGTCCCTACAAATGATAAAAAAATTTAGCCCAGTGTTGCGGTATGTGCCTGTGGTTCTAGCTTCTTGGGAGGCTGAGGTGGGAGAGAATCATTTGAACCCTGGTGGTCAAGGCTGCAGTGAGCCATGTTTGCACCACTGCACTCCAGCCTGGGTGACAAGGCAAGACCCCATCTCGGGAAAAAAAAAAAGGGGGAGGAAGAAAACATGTAATTGTTACATACAGTTGCAATACTCTGTTTATTAGTTATTAAAACATATCTTTTATTAGACTCTCAAAGTGTCCATGACTCAAAGGAATTTAATTACTATTTTATAATGTTTGTTCTATTATAAACAAATAAAAATTGGTCTTTCATTAATTTAGAACATTCTGTTAGACTATTTGCTCTCCTCTGAGAAGAATCCTTCCCCTGTAGCCATCCAAGGAGGAGACTATTGGACACCACTCCTGTATCCTGGACCAGGAGGGACATTTGGCACTTCTCTCTCTTCCCAGCTGCACTTCTACACTATTCCGTCTTCCCTCAAATGCATAAGTCCTGTTCTTCTGAGTTACCACCGTCCAGCTGTATCACCCCCCACAGCATTTTCTTTGCTATCACAAGGCCTATTGTTCTTTCCTCAATATTCGCTGGAGGCTTTGGAGCCCAGTTCACAGCCTTCTCCATCTCCTATTCATATACCTCATCAAAATGATTACCTCACAGTTCCTAGACTCCCGCACAGTCCCTGACTTCCATCTCTTCCACACATCAGCCACTCACTTCCATGGTCACACAGAGCCTGTGTTCACTCAGAGACACGTTGCCTCCGAAAACATAAGCTCAGCAATGTCAGGCTCTGAACACATTTTCCCATTCTCCTTGCTCTCCCTCCTACCATGTTTCTCTTCAGCCTCATCAAGAACTTCAGTCCCTTTACCCGACCTTCATTCCTTACACCTCAAGATATCAATTCTCTCCTGTCTTAAATTTCTTATTTAGACTACAGTGCACGAACCATCGCATTAAATATTATCTCTCCAGGTTGGGCACTATGGCTCAAACCTGTAATCCCAGCACTTTGGGAGGCTGAGGAAGGCAGATCACCTGAGGTGAGGAGTTCGAGACCAGCCTGGCCAACACGGTGAAACCCTGTCTCTACTAAAAATACAAAAAATTAGCTGAGCGTGGTGGTGGGCGCCTATAATCTCAGCTACTTACTAGGCTGAGGTAGGAGAATCACTTGAACTTGGGAGGCGGAGGTTGCAGTGAGCTGACTGTGCCACTGGACTCCACCCTGGGCGACAGAGTGAGACTCCATCTTAAAAAAAAAAAAAATTCCAATACTCTCAACAATCTTGTCAGTCTAGCTTATTTTTCTCTCACCCATCAAAACTGCAATACAGGGTTCATTTAACTTTTTTCTTTTCTGATTTTATACTTGTCTACCAAATATTGCTAGGGCAAACAGTGCATTTGCAGAAGAACCAATCTGCAAATTATGGCCTCCAATCTCTACAAGGAACTCAATGTTGCTAGTAAACTTGCTGTTTCTTAAACACCAGTGGGGGTTTCAAAGCCTTACACCAGAATCACCCTTGTAAAATTTAATCTGATTATGTTCCACACCTCAGATTTAAACCCTTTCATGACTCCCCATCGCCTTCCAAATGATGTTCAAACATCTTAGTACGGCTCAAACAGTCCTCTGTAGTCTGACATTTTACTTCCTTCCTTACCACTACTCCCTAATTCTCTAGATTACAACTCTCCTAAACTGCCTATCTCTCCTACTAGACCATTCATTAGCCTCTTGAAAGAATGTATCTTATCCATCTTTTCTCCACCTCAGTGCCTTGTATAGTACCTTGCACACGATAGGTCCTATACAAATGTTTACCGACCTGAATTGTATAAATAATATGCTATCAAGTTTCCCTGAAGATTTATCATCTCAGAAGGTACTTGAAAACAAGATGAGGAATCAAAGTCACAAAATATTTCTTACAATTTTTGTTTTCTTTTAAAACATGAGAATTTCTTGAGAATTAAAATCTTGCTTTATAGACATGTCATACTACACTATTTAATGATATATGCTTAGATATACTAAAGAGCATTAATGTTTTCATGTTAATTCGTAAGAACAATCATTGAAAACATGTGACTGCAGATGAGGTCTGATTCCTTAAATGCTGTTTGCTCAGCTTGAGGACAGCACGGCAAAATTTCACTAATTCTGATTCACTGAGGGAAATGAGAAAGCGTGAAGTAGGATGACCTTTATAATTTGCTCCATAAGGAAAATAAGCAATGAGCGCTACCAGATAGAGATTCTATATTCTAGCTTTTATAAATATGTGAGAATGACTGTTATTTAGCTGGTCAACTGTTTGCAATAGCACTTTTAACTTATATTGCCTTGATCATTAATGAGGTTGAAAAAATGTTTTCAAATGTTTATTGGCCTTGAAAAAAAATTTCAACTTTTAGATTCAGGGGGTAGATGTGCAGGTTTGTGACATGGGTATACTGTGTGATGCTAAGGTTTGTGATATGAATGATCCCGTCACCCAGGTAGTGAGCATAGTACCCAAGAGTTAGTTATTCATCTCTTTCCCCCTCCTTCTCTCCCTCTTCTTGTAGTCCCCAGTGTCTAATGTTGCAGTCTTTATGTCCACGAGTAACCAATGTTTAACTCCCACGTATAAGTGAGAATATGTGGTATTTGTTTTTCTGTACCTGCATTAATTCACTTAGGAAAATGGCTTCCAGATGCATCCACGTTGCTGCAAAGGACATGATTTTACTCTTTTTTATGGCTGCATATCATTCCAGGGTGCATATGTACCACATTTTCTTTATTCAATCCACCAGGGATGGGCACCCAGGTGGATTCTGTGTCTCTGCTATTGCGAACAGCATGGTGATGAACCTATGAGTGCACGTGTCCTTTTGGTAGAATAATTTATTTTCCTTTGGATATCTACTCAGTAATGGGATTGCTGGGTGGAATGGTAGCTCTGTTTTAAGTTCTTTGAGAAACCTCCAAACTGCCTTCCACAGTGGCTGAACTAATTTATATTCCCACCAACAGTATGTAAGTGTTTCCTTTTCTCCTAAGCCTCACCAGCATCTGTTGCATTTTGACTTTTTAATAATAGCCATTTTAAGTGGTGTGAGACGGCGTCTCACTGTAGTTTTGATTTGATGATTAATGATGATTAGTGATGATGAGTGTTTTTTCATGTTTTTTGGCCACTGGCAATGTCTTTTTTTGAGAAATGTCTGTTCATGTCTTTTGCTCCCTTTTTAAATGGGGTTATTTGGTTTTTGCTTGCTGAATTTTTTAAGTTCCTTACAGATTCTGGATTTAAACCTTTACCAGATACATACTTTGTGAACATTTTCTCCCATTCCGTAGGTTGTCTATTTACTCCCTTGATAGTTTATTTTGCTGTGCAGAAGCTCTTTAGCTTAATTAGGTCCCAGAATAGACAACCCAGCAATGAAGCTCCACACCTACAGCCATCTGGTCTTTGACAAAGCTGACAAAAATAAGCAATGGGGAAAGGACTCCCTATTCAATAAATGGTGCTGGGATAACTGGCCAGCCATGTGAGGAAAAACAAAACTGGACCTCTACCTTTTACTATATATAAAAATTAATTCAAGATGGATTAAAGATTTAAATGTTAAGACCTCAAAATGTAAGAATCCTAGAAGAAAACCTGTGAAACACCATTCTGGACATTGGCCATGGGAAAGAATTTATGTTGGCTATTTCAATGTTATCTTTCGCCAAGTGTCTCTTAAGTCTCTTGTCCATTCATTTTTCTATTGGGCGGTCCATGTTTTGTTTATTTATTGTTATCTCAACTCTTCTATATTTTCTGAATACCCACATTTGTTACTTACATATGTTGCAAAAATCTTTTCCCACTCTGTGGTTTGCCTTTGTAATGTCTTAAC